CACTACGATCCTGCTTCCTCCCCTTGTTAGTCCTCTTACAGGTGCGCCATCCATGCGTGGGGTTATTTGCGGGTGGCGTGGAATCTTGGCATGACGGTTCAGTCAAAAGCTTGCATTAGAGGGACTGAGGAGCACTTGGAAACAATTTAGGGTATCATTCATAAAAACTTGCCATCTGCTCATTCTAGGATGGCAATGCTGAGATGCCCTCAAGTCAGAAACAGGCCAGCTACTCGTGGGTAGTATATGTCTGAAACAGTAGTTTTAGTGGTCCTCATTCTCATCGACCCTGAGGTAGTACCTAATACAAGAGCGATAGGTAAGATCGCACTGTGAAAGATGGTAAAATCTTAGGACTAATATATTGAAAATTCGTGGTGATGCAAGGCAGTAGAGTTAAGCATGATGTATTCGATCTTCATTGCCCCATTATCAGAATACCAAAGCCTGACAACCCGTACTGGACATTCACCAATGTCGCACAGTACTGAGAGAAGCACCCACCAAAAATGTGGGTTGAAGTACGCAGAACTCGAATTTGCGGAACAAAACGTTTCTATTGTGGCTGCAATCATTTTTTTTTTTTTTGCCAGAACTACCAATCTATGTGAGGATTTGCTTTGACCAGCTTTGAATACTTTTGACTGTCGACGTCGTAGTACCTTTTCACTCAGCCACACCTCTCTTCTTATCTAACTTTAGTACAATTATGGAGAAGCGCCTGTTCTCAAGATATCACCCGAAAGCAATCAAAGCTTCACAATCACAGCATTATCATTGCTAGCAATCACAGCTAGCAATGATAAGTATAATCCACTTCGTTGAACGGACATACATACATTAAACAGAACAAGGACCCTTCCATACATATTCAATGGAAAAGTGAACATAAAATAAGGTCATGAGATGTCCCATGAAGCTGTTTTTAACAACAGATCGGCTACGAATTCCAACCAGTATAACGAGCCTTTCATACCCGAGAAAAAATGCATTCAAACTCTCACTAGCATACATTTCGACTTTGAAGCATTCGTCACCAAACACGATACGTCTTCTGTAATTAATGGATAGTAAGTTTGAGGAGTGCATGTAAGGTATTAAGCACAGTTCCGGACCATTTACTGATAATCAGTCCCACTCTATCAGGGAGGGGCTTCGACACGAATATGTAGTCCGTGCAGTCCAGAGCCAGTGCGACCCAAGGACGTTCGAATCCTTTCATCACCATGAGGCGATGCCCTGGACTACAAGGACAGGTAGTACCTTCGGCCTTCGGTCATAACCTCCTTCTACAATACCCACCCTAAATGTTCAGAAAAACACGAAAAAAACGCGTTTTCGCGTTTTTTTTT